AGGCAGAGGTTGCAGTGAGCCGAGATCTCACCACTGTCCTTCCAGCCTGGGCAACAGAGTGAGAGTCTTACTAAAAAAAAAAAAAAAAAAAAGATGCACGTAAAAGAATATTCAGAGCAGCATTGTTTATCATAGCTGCAAAGTGGAAATAACCCAAATCACTGTCAGTAGTAGAAATAAGCTTTGATGTAATCATTCAGTGGAATATTAGCACAAACACAAGTTATACACAACTAAGTGAATCTCAGAGTCATAAGCAAAATAAGTGAACAGAAGAATTCACAGAATATTATTCCTTTTTTTTTTTGAGACAGAGTTTTGCTCTTGTTGCCCAGGCTGGAGTGCGATGGCACAATCTCGGCTCACTGCAACCTTCGCCTCCTGGGTTCAAGTGATTCTCCTGCCTCAGCCCCCCAAGTAGCTGGGATTATAGGCATGAGCCACCACACACAGCTAATTTTTGTATTCTTAATAGAGACAGGGTTTCCCCATATCGGCCAGGCTGGTCTTGAACTCCTGACCTTGTGATTTGCCTGCCTCGACCTCCCAAAGTACTGGGATTACAGGTGTGTGCCACTGCACCCGGCCATTATTCCATTTTAATATGGTTCAAATTAAACTATAATTTTTAGGGATGTGGTCATTGGTAACACTATAATGAAAAGCTAGGAAGCGATTACTCTAAGATCAGGGTCATAGTTGGGAAAGTGGAAATTGGAGATTGTGTTCAGGAAGTGACCTCCAGGGGCTTCTAGTTGCTCTCAGCTCTGTTTCTTGATTAGGTATGGTTTAAAAGAAGATTGCCTTTTTAAAAATTCTCCAGCACACTTTTTTTTTTTTTTTTTTTTTTTTTCAGAGTCTCGCTCTGTTGCCCAGGCTGGAGTGCAGAGGCTCGATCTTGGCTCATTGCAACGTCCGCCTCCAGGGTTCAAGCAATTCTCCTGCCTCAGCCTCCCAGGTAGCTGGGACTACAGGCATGTGCCATCACACCCAGCTAATTTTTGTATTTTTAGTAGAGACGGAGTTTCACCATGTTGGTCAGGATGGTCTTGATCTCTTGACTTGGTGATCCACCCGCCTCGGCCTCCCAAAGTGCTGGGATTACAGGCGTGAGCCACCTTGCTCAGTCTGTACTTTTACTTTTTAACCACCGATTTTGAAAATAATGCATTTTGGGGGAACTCCTCTTTTGGCTTTGGAGCACCCCACCCCCGCAACCGCACCTGTCTCTGTAGGGAGGAGGCTCTTCCGTCTGCCTTCTTTCTTGCTTTTTTTTTTTCCTTTTTTTGAGAAGGAGTTTCACTGTTGTTACCCAGGCTGGAGCGCAATGGCACGATCTCGGCTCACCGCAACCTCCACCTCCTGGGTTCAGGCAATTCTCCTGCCTCA